TCGTACCTTATAGATTCGATACCACTTTCTACATTAAATATTTAATTAGTACTTATTATACTCTAATCAAGTTTGTTCGGAATATTTATAAAATAATAAAATATGTTTTTTTATATGAGGAATAATACAACGGCCATACCTATTATAATATGTGAAATGTGTGTCAATATAATAAAATATGTATCCTGCGTCTTAACTGTATGAGAAGACAAGTGCATATTCAAACGATGGATGCGGACTGTGTTCGAAAATATTATATAATATTAAATCCATTAAACGATGTAAATTCAATTGAAAATGTTAATTTTACTCACACGTTCTCAGAAGATTGAAATACAGTTTTATGAACATCTCTCGAGAACCTCAAAAACAAACACTGAACGGTGTTAGGGGGGGGGGGATTTGCAATATTATTATTACAAATTTATCAACGACAGAAACGTGAAGTACTTTTATCGTGACTGGAAGTCCCTGAACGATCCCAGGCAGGGATATGAAATAGTTTCAAGGTCATAGGTACTTACGTCATTTTACGGCCAAAGTATATTTTATATGTGAATCCTTGCAGATGAAATAGACTAGTCCAGTGAATAATAGTAATTTATTGTATTTGACTTGATTTCGATAAAATAAATACAAAAAATCCGACTTCATAATACGCCAACACGTTTAATATAAATTGCTTATAGTGTTGTATCCTACAGCTTCATAAAATGGTCGATCGGATTCGAAATTCATTTTCATGTTCATACCGAGTGCACAATGCACAACTGACAATTGTTTAAAAATATATGTCAGCGTTTCAAATCGGAACATATTTCGTATACGAAATGTATTGTAGTTTGCATATTATGCATATTCGGATGGTTAAGGAATCATTGTCGTCGGTTGACATCGGTTGTCATTATAATATCGAACACTAAGTAAATTATACTTTACGCATATTTATTATAATACACAACTGAAATATTATTTGAAATCTGTGAATTTCCGAATGTATGTGATAGTAATTGTTTACAATAAATTATAGTTGGGGAATAGTTCACTCAGCAGCGAGCGTGCTAAATTCCCAATTTCAAAACGTATATTAATACAACGCAATAAATTATGATTCCATGTACAATATTCCATATACAATGAGTTTATAAACAGTAACTAGGGATAGTAATTGAATACAAATCAACAATTGTAACTAGGGTTTGACATATTTTTTTCGGTTTTGGATATCGGTATTTTTGTTTTCCGATTTCGTTTTTAGTTTTGAATATAGGCATTTACTTTTTTCTATTTAAATTTTGGTTTTGATTACCGGTATTGATTTTTTTCAATATTGATTTAAGTTTCGATATCGGTTTTAGTTTTTATCGGTTAAAACCGCTTTTCAAAATCGGTATCCAATATCGGTTTCAAGCCCTGTATTATTACACCATTATAATGACCAGGGATTGAAAACGAAAGTATGTTTTCGGTTTTTCCTATTTTGATTTTGGTTATAGGTTTTTATTATTTCAAATTTTGATTTCGGTTTTGATTACCAGTATTGATTTTTTTTTTTAATTTCATTTTAAGTTTTGATATCAGTTGTTAACGGTCTTAACCACTATTCAAAATTAATATTGAATATCGGTTTCAAGCCTAATCGTAACTATGTACTAATAACTAACGGAGATATAAGGTGTTTTAAACATAATATGTAAAGAAACCTAAAACACAATGTCGATAAATTAGTAATAATTATTTATTCGATAAGAAAATATATTAAGAATGAATTTCTTCAAAATTTAAGCGTGGCCCTTACACATATTACATATTATACATCACTTTAAAATAGTACATTTAATTTAAACTATACATCTGTACTGTTATCAAAAGAAATTAAAAAATAAAATAAAATAACTGTTATCTTATTATTATTTTTAGACCTATTTGATTTTATAATACAACTAGAATAAAAGAAAATAATACTTTTTAAATAGATAAAAAAATTAACATTATAAATTTGAATACTGTTTGAGTATGTAGTTGGCAGTGCGAAACTTTACAAAAGCACTACCTCCGAAAATGAAAAATCCAACAAAGTCGGAGATTAATCCAAATATGTCCAACAAGTCTCCAACAAATGTGTTGGATATATTATATTATAAATTATTTTCATAAGAGTCTTATGTTATGGTTGCCAACTTACTATTCGAGGGTGTAATAATTACTATTGTGGCAACTACAGAATATTATTATAATTATTTTTTATATTATATCGGTATTTATTATACTGTGTCATTTTCGACTGATATTAATCGCTTCACTTAATTTAGAACTCTCATCGCTACCTTTATTGTTATGATATTAAAAAATAGCATCAAAACCTAACTTTTAGGTACAAATTGCGCAGAACCCTGCATCAGAGGTCAATGGACCGAACGCGGTCGACTATGTGGAGGTCGTCGACGGATAAAAAAAAACTCATCGCGAGTCCAGAGACGAAAAAAATACTAACAAAAAAGCGGCTTCAGCGGTCCACCTGTCCGAGTATTATTATACATATATTTCAGTTCGTGGCCGACTGTTGCGGCGGCAGCGGTTACTACCCTCCCTCGGTATATAATGCGCGCATTTTATCGAAGCAGCTTCGACTTACAGCCAAGTATAGGCGATTACTTCGCGGCCTTCCTTATTATTATTTTTTTTTTTTTGCCTCCTCCGTACAGTGCTCACGTAAGCCATATGGAGACGTACCTCGACGAGTGCAGTGTGTACATCTTAGTGATAATCCTTTTGCCGGTTTCAGCGTTTTTTTTGTTCCCCCCCCATTCATTATTGTGTTATGTTATTCCTTGCAGGACAGACTCTGCTGTCTCTACAGATGTCGGAGGCGGCGCTCCGTTCGCTCTCGTTATATATCATCATCATCATCATCATCATCATCATCGTCACCATTATCATTATTGTTACTGTGCTCTGTATTATATAATATTATTATGTGCGTGCGCCGTTTACCGCTCACCGAGCGGCAGCAACAGGTGTCGGTGGCATCCGGCAGACAGACGTGCGGAGGAGGAAAAACACACACACACACTCGCGTTCTCACAAATCGCGTGTTTTAACTAAATGTGATTGTTTTTTACACGCGAACGGGACGGGAAGGGGGTAGAGTACCTAATAATAACGATACCGCGGTTTACGACGCAACAATATAATATAATAAATAGTAAATTAGTTACACTATTTTACGACTTTTTGCGGTTTTTTCCAGTCCCCGCACACACTGCTGCAACACAGCACGTTATGAATAATAATAATAATAATAATAATAATAATAATAATAATAATATTCAAAACGCAATCCCGCGGCCAAGTCACACGCATTATTGTGAAAATAAATTTTATAGGTATACGAAGATAAGTAGGTAGGCAATCTTCGCTGTTTCGCGCGCATACAAACGTGCAATATTATAATTTATAATATTAAAATATATTGTGCGCCCTCAACTCGGCCGGAAAACGGTTGATTCTTATTTTTCATTTTTATTTTAAGCGACGCGACCATAAAAAACTACAATAATATATTATATAATATAATATAATGTTAAGTCTGCTATACGCGGCAAACGCGATCTGCAGTGGTGTAGGCGCGCTGTTTCTCGGAACCCACACGCTCGGAGTCAAAACATTATTATCGTTTCGGAAGAGATTTTTTACGGACGTTATTTCGAATGCCGGTGAGCGCTTTTTACTACCGAAGTTATTTATCGCGAATTTTACCGAGAACTATATCTCTGTATATTCAAATAAATCGACCGCGGCGGCAATTGCGTTTTCGCGGTCAATGTTTCATAATTGTATTCACGCGTTCCATATTATAAACATTACGACTTTTATAATTAATAGTACTATACATCGAATGCAATAATGTGCAGGTAATATAATATTGTGTTTATTATTGTTGTGGTGCAGCACGTGACCTATATCTGCAGCATACACGACTCGACAATAAATTAGTTATAGCAAACGCGAGCACTTAATCGTCAACCGGTCGTATTGATATTTAATAATGAACTTATATAATATTATTGTTTATCACATACTATTATATTATAGAGGTGCAGCTGCAGCGTAAGAGTGCAGCGTAATGCATTATTATTGTTTGTACCTATTTTACGTTACGGTAAATGAGTAATGGCGTTAAAGTTAAACGGAAAATAACGATCTTCGCTGGTCATTAGCGTTATTGACCTCAAATACATAACAACATTATATCGTTATAAACATATATGAACTATCCACGCCGAGCTTGATTTTGGCCCCATCCAAGACCAGTGTATTTGAAAGTTTTGTTGTACTGATGAAGTAAATTACAAAAATGTAAAAAAAAAGAGCTCTACTGATAACTATAGTTATAGTTTTATATTGCAGTGAACTCCTAAAGAATTAATCAGCCACTAGCTCTCACCTTATTTTTCTCTCGACTATGCAACAATGCAGTTATTCAAAATCTGATTTTTAGACCATATTTTCGAAATTTCGATATTTTTTGTTCTAGGTGTATGTATTATTACAAGAGTGTCTGTGATGAACTCCATCAGCGTGAAGACGTACATTTTTTAACAGAGATTCTCCCCCCTTTTAAACTGTTTGTTTGCTGTCTTATCAAAACTAGAGTTCAAATAGATTATTTTTGAGCTATTTAACATTGTGTACTAAGAATAATAGGTCCATGATAATGGTTTTGGAAGATAATATGATCACTATGAACACATTCATTACGAAATGAAAAAAAAAATGGGAGGGAAGCGTGCTTGCAGGTGAACCAATCCGTATACTACATAATCGATTTCCAAAAATCGAAGGAGATCAACCACAATATATTAAGACGTATTGGTTAATTATTACTATGAATTCCATATTGTTGTATCGAATTGTTTACAGAGTACGTCGGAAATCGGAATGACTGTTATAGTACGGACTGCATAACTGCAGAATTGACGGTAAATTAGTATACGTACCACGCCGATCAGCTACCTTAAGATATTATACGCTGCCTCAATAATTTCCTTCCCCGACTGGTTGTCCTCAGTTAAGCCCAATCGGATTTACAATAATATCATATGATCGACAAATCGATAATCACGTATACACATCACTGCAATCCCATCCTCGATCTTTACTTTAATATTATAACTCCAAAACGGAATAACAACAATAACGCATCGCGTATCGTGAACTACGTAGACTTTTTTCTGTGTATATTATTGCACCACTTCGTTCGTAGTATAATGAAGTATAATAGTGTAATGTAAATACACCTTTTTACTCACTTATACTGGTGATTGTATATTGTGTACACGTATATACAGGGTGATTCACCTTGCTTGCTCACTCCCCTCTAGTTTATTTAGTAAATGAGTTATTCAAAATCTGATTTTTGGAATTCTTATATATAGGTACACGCCTTGGGGACTGCAATATTTTCTGATTCTTGGGATTTTTCGTACTACTAAAGGTGCGTCCTTCGGAGATACAAGCTTGTTTTTTGAAATAAGAGGAGGCCCTCTTCTACCGTGAATCATATATGGACCATTTTACAAATTGTTGATAAACATAATATATATTTACCTATACAAGCATTTCTTGAAACCTAAAATATTATTTCTGATTTCGTTTTCGGTTATCGGTACCAATTTATTTTTCCGATTTTGATTTCGGTTTTGATTACCAGTATTGATTTTTTTTTGATTTTATTTTCAGTCTCGATATAGATTTCGGTTTCTTATGGTATTAACCATTATTCAAAATCGGTATTTAATATCAGTTTCAAGCCTTGACCCCCCCCCCCAAAAAAAAAAAATTATATTTAATAAAATCTATGATTTGTAAAAATACTAGTTCCAATATCATCTTTATTTCATAGTTTTGAAAAACCATTTTTAAAGACTATATTATATTATTTATATCCCTAATACAAACCTTTTAAAAACTTAGAAACAACTTGTTTGAATTTTGAAAAATGTTCACATATACCTATCAACATTTTCTAAAAACTTATCCACTAAATAGTTTATAATAAAAATGTTGGTTTTTGTTTGAAAAATAGAAGTTTGTATCGCCACAGGACACTCCTTAAGTAATATAGAAAAAATGCATAAAATTTGAAAACATGGTCTTAGGGTGTACTTAAAAATTCTAAAAATCAAAATTCAATATATTCATTATTAAAGGAAAATAGTTGGAGGGAGTGAGCAATGAGTATGTTTGGTGGATCATCCTGTATAGTTATGCAGCGGAGATATGATATCATTTTGAACCGTTATTGGAGGATTGTTTGATATCGATTTTTTACTATTTTTTTTTTTAACATTTCGGCTATCAGTATTTTACTGTTTTTCAAGGTTGATAGTATCCGGTGATTCGTCATCAGTTCAGATTTTTTTTCATAACCGCAACATTATCTGTTATACGCACACAACTACGGAAATATACGATTCATCTTCCTGTTTACTGACATGACACAAACTACATATATATTTTATATCTTATCTCCTTTTATTCACGGCGGTGGTCCAGAAGAACCTTACACGATATTTTGGAGTTCAGCAGAATGATAATTTTAACGATCCCGGTCTTCGTTTTATACGTATTTTATATATATATCTCATAAACTCCACCTGTGGTATGGCCATATTATAGTATTATTATGTGTTTATTGTTGAAAGTATTTTTTCAATTTTCGTTGAAAATTATGATTTTTGTAAAACGCGCTTACTATATCATATTATTATCAACAAAATACAGGATGGCGATGTCTGGTTATAGTTCACATATCGTACGCATATTACAATAATATTGTGACAATCAGAGACGGTCTTATATTATGTTTGTGCCGCCTTTGACAATATTGTCCCATTGTCAACGAATGTCTATAACACAATAATACATAGATACTGCACCGGTGAGTCTGCTAAATGTCAATCGTGTAACGGAGATGTATGATAATGAACCTAGTATAATAATGGAGGAATAATGTAGTTGAATTTCGTCTACTTTAGAGTCGTTAACATTCAATTATACCTATGAGATAAATAAAAGGAAGCGGACGGAATCATCAAAAACATTAAAATAACGTCAATGATTGCGTATAAAAATAAACCTTTTCTGGAGGGCGGGCAACGAAGACGTCAACGCTGCTTAGCGCCTAATTATTATTATAAGATAAATGCATTATATACGAACGACGTCTTTGAGTACATCGTATAAATAGAAACTAAAACACACGTACGCACGTATGACTACAACTGCAGATACAGCATAGTTGGGCTTACATTATGACATGCAGTTTTAATAATTATATTGTACAATAATTACATTGTGAGACGTGTTCGATTACATTGGGTTATAGGAAAAAAGGCAATATTGAAAAAAAAGAAAACAAATAGCAATACATTTGTTTTTTCAATAAAAAACATGAAAAAAAACCAATTTAATGAGTCAAGATTTAATATAATAATATAATGTTAAACAATAATTTTATTTAATCATCTTTGGGTAGTTTTTGAGTCTTAATATACCTAATTAGATATGCAAAAACGTGAATTCGGTTATTTATCCCCTATTATCCATCTGAAATTCGGAATTCGTATGAAAGTCCTTTACCAAATATCTAACGTACAAGCAATCACACTGATAGATTGATTAATACATTTTTCAAGTTGGCAATCCACAAACACCCTTTTTGGAACATCGTGAAAAAAATGTAACTATAGAAATTGCAGCCAATGAAACAACATTTTACCAGCGATTAAATTAAATTATTACGTAATTATAATAGAAAAATACTAAATATCATTATTCTTATTTACAAAAAAACATAAAATTGAAAACATACAACATATAATTTTTTTTTTAAAACAAGAGTATTATAGTGATAATAATTTTAATCTTTCTAATTATTTATTAGCTGTATCCCATAATGGTCCATACCATAAGGTTAAGATAATGAATAAGCACAAATTCCAGCATCATTAGGGACCTACCAATAATATTACTTTATTTTTCAATTATATTAAATTTATGTTTGTATTGTAATTAATTAGGTAACTAACTTAATGTTTTTCAATTTTAAAGGCAACACTTGATCTATCTTTTTTTATTACATATACCTAGCCATATTATCTATGTTGACTTTTTTCTACAACAATGTTTAAATTAAATTTTTTTTTCAACATTGCCTTTTTTCTTAAACACAAAAAACCGTCAACTGCCGAGCATCTAATTAGAATATTGTTATGAGATAAATGTATATTATACGAACGACATCTAATGATTATCGTAATAAAATGTAAAACAGACAAGCTCAGCTGGTCGGTACTTCGTAGTTGGACGTATAAAAGTGCAGTTGTAATATCTATATTATTGAACAGTATTTATTGTAATAGTTACTGTGCACAGTGTATTATTAGTATAATATCATTAATACACACGAGTGCCGATTAAAGTGTAAAATAAAGATTTAATTTCGTATTGGCTAAAAGGCAATTTCTAACGACGTCACGAAGAAGATTTATCTGTGGCATGCCAATAACGGGGGGAAAAAAACCTAACCCAACAGCGGAGGGCTCTGCCGCAACGGATAATAATAATAATAATAATATGTGTTGCGAAATGCTGAAAACCAAAGGGTCCATTGGCGGCGGTCATTACTGCAGTTAGGAGAGATATTATATTTATTATATGTATATTACATAATAACCATGGGCGTTTGGGATGGTCGTGAAACTACAGTGATGGACAAAATTTACGATCGGCGAGTGTCCTGGCGGCGGTATAAACGAGCCGACGACGTATTTTCGTATAATTGGTGAAAAATTCGGAGTGTTTCGAGGAACCAGGAGGGGGTCGGTATGAATCATGGCAGCTAATTGACGTGATGGCGGAATCGGCTGCCGTGTAAACTCGCGTTCACGGGGTGTGTTCACAACACAATAATAATAAATTTTATGATGCATGTGTACTTATTTTATATATATATTGTGTGTGTGTGTGTAATGAAATTCGCGCACAAGAGACATATAAACGAGAAAACCCACTTCCGCCGCCCGGTCAGGGTTATTATATTTATATAATTTATTTCAAAGACCCTCTACCGCCGTCGCCACCGGTATGGTAAATAATAATAATTGAATCGCCCCGGACGCGCCCCGCAGCGTAGTATTTGCACTACGATAGTGTTATATAATATTATTATCGCACACATGCAGTGGCGTGTAAAACATTTGGTTTTTGGAGTTGCCCGGAAAATTTCTCCGCATACCTGCACTACCACAGCCACGAATTTCGGGAAAAAAATCCGAAGGCAAATAATCCTCGAAAAGAAAATCCTTGCAGTATAAAAGTTAATCAATTTACATGCTTGCTTAATGATGATTAGGGCCCGGCCGGATTTAAATGCCATATAAACTATCAACAAATGGTCTAAAAAAGACCGAAAATGCCTTTTCAGTTCCATAATTCTCTTTAAAAAAAATAACGTGAGAGGAAAATTCTGATTTAACTTGAGTCATTTTTAGCTTAACTAAACTGATAATAATACAAAATAAAATACCGAACTTGGGTTCACGCAGTATTTAATTCAATTTAACACACATTTCTTAAATATTTTTATCATACAATTTTTCTTTATTCACATTTTATGTTCAAATTAGTTGATATTATTAGTGTCATTTATGAAATGATCAATATTGTATTATTATCATTCTTGAAAAATATTTATATTTAATTAAATTTAACTTGTTCGTCAAATTATGTCATTAATTTATATACCTATATTTATGTAAAGTATCTATTTCTTTCTTGGTGATTTTTTTTTCAAACTACCCCCCACCACAACAATAACCCTCTTATGTAGAAATTAGTTCTTCTCATTTTAATTTTTTTTTTCTGCTGATTTTTCCGTTATGATTAAATTATGCACAAGTCGAAAAATGTTCGGTAGGTACTAAATAAGTTATAACAATATGTATTTTTTAGTAGATACTAAATACAGGCGCTTACCTATAGATACTATAACTAAAAAGGATAACATAACTCACTGCAGTGACATGCTAACATGTTAGTTATTTTATTATTACTATAATAGTACACCAGCCTAGATATGACCTGTGATATGCGTATCACTAGTTTAATTGAATTAACTAAATATGTTTATTTTGATTAGGTATGAATAGGTAATCAATAGATTTTAAATTCTATTAACCTATTTGCTAATTGT